ATCTACAACCACTGTATAGGATGCACCCAGTTTTTAGACCCCAAATTTTTCAAAAAAGGGTGCATATTATACATGGGGAAATATGGTACATATCATGTCTAAAACATACTTGTATCCATGAGATGGCAGAAGCTGTGTGAAGTCTAGTTGCCAGACCTCAACCGGTCCATCTGGCAATTTAAAAAGTCCAGGGACAGTACAAATAGGCTTCCCTAAGTTATACTTTGGACAGATGTGACACCTGAGGTAGGTACTTTTTGCAGCCTTATTAATATTTCCCCACTAATATTGGTGCATGAATGCTTCCATTTTGTCAGTTGACCAATGGTTCGATGCCTGTACAGTGGTTAGGAGTGGAAATTTTAGAGTTTCTGATAGGACTGGGTTGTTATTTGGTCCAAACCAGAGTCTCTTCTCCTTATTAAACAAACAATTGTTGGATTTCCAGTTATGTTTTTCTTCTTCAGAAGCTGATTGTTGGGCTTCTCTGGCCAGTTTTTCTAAGTCATCAACTGTTGAAGCTTCTCTCTGGACCATGACAGAGGTTTGACTGCTCTTGACGCCTTTTAGGGCAGCATTTTTAGCAGAAATGTCAGTCAGGTGATTTCCTTCGGCTTCCAGGGAGTCAAGTTTAGAATGCTCCGGAATCTTAATAATGGCTGAGGCATTAGGTAAAAGTATAGCGTCCAATAATCTCTGTACATATGGCCCATTCTTAATTTTATCTCCATTGGCGGTAAGGAAACCACATTGTTTCCATAACATTCTAAAGTCATGAGCCACCCCAAAGGCATATCTGCTGTCAGTGTAAATGTTGACAGCTTTACCCTTTGCTAAAATGCAAGCTCGAGTGAGGGCATATAATTCAGCCTGCAGTGCTGAAGTGGCCAGAGGCAAAGGTGCCGCCTCAATGACTTCAGGAGGAATTACAACAGCATAACCAGCACAGTACGCACTATTGCCATTTGTAAGTACGAACCATCGGTAAACCATGAGAAATAACATTTACCCAGAGGAGTCTTCTGCAAATCATCATGAGGAGTCAGAGGGTGATCTGTTAATATCAAGCAGTCATGAGGGGCTTCCTCAGTCTCAGAAGGAAAAAAAGGAGCTGAATTAAGGTTATTATAATGTGAAAGTGTTATATGGGAAGCAGTTAACAAAATGATTTCATAAGAAGTAAGGTGGCTGACTGAAAGATGCTGGGTGTGATGAGAACTCAGGAGAGCTTCTACTCGTGAGGCACAAAGATGGCTAGAGGGGATCCCACAACAATCTTCTCTGTGGCAGCAATGGGTCTGAGGCAAGGGGATATCCCTAAGCCACAGGGTCCAGTTGTTGACTAGAGTATCCTAGGGGTTGATGTTGATCCCCATGTTTCTGAGTGAGCACCCTAAGGGCATTTCCTTCCTTTTCATGTATAAAAAGGAAGAAGGGAATGTGGTAATTAAGATGTTCAAGAGAAGGTGACCTTAAAGGCCAGGTCATCCTGTTCTTCCCATGAAATTGGGTCAAGACTCTTATTCCTTAGTAGGATATATAGAGGTTTTGCCATAAGAGAAAGATTTGAGATCCAATCCCGGCAATAGCCAACTAGCCCAAGAAAACCTCACAATTGTCACTTAGTCTTGGGCTTTGGGAAACTTAGGACGCCATGGAGCCTGTCTGAGTCCAGGCGCAGACCTTCTTTCTTTCTTTCTTTCTTTTTTTTTTTAAAGATATTTATTGGGGAATTGGGGGGATGGGAACAGTGGTGGGGAATTGGGGGAAGGGGAACAGACAAGCTGCTGTCATTTTTTTTGTTCTTCAATCTAGTTGTGGAGGACGTTGCTCCACTGGCTCAAGTTGGCACCGTCATTGCGCTCCTCCCAGGTGAGGCAGATCAGTCGCCGGCTTCTGGACGGCCGCTCACTGCGGCTGCTGGCCGCTTACGTTGGCTGCTGGCCACTCACGCTGGCTGCTGGCTACATACAGTAGCCCATGGCAACCCACTGCAGCAGGGGCTGCAGCCTACGCCGTCGCCGGCGACTCACGGCAACCCAGCTCCAGGCCGAGCTGTTGTTCAGCATCTTAGCTGCGGAGGGCAGTGTCACTGGCCCTCATATGTGGGATCCGAACCGGGGCCCTCTGGCATCCCAAGCGAGTTCTTAACCATCGCGCCACTCGGCCGGCCCAGACCTTCCTTCAATATCAGATGTCCCAAGTATCAAACCTGAGCTTGGGCAAATTGTAATTTCTCTTTAGAGACCTTATGTCCCTTTAAGGCCAAAAGTGTCAGCAAATGGATGCTATCATCCTGTGAGGAAACCTGAGAAGAAGAGCAAAGAAGTAAATCATCCACATGTTGTAACAAAGTGGAACCTTGAGGGAAAACTATATCATCCAAATCAGTCTTCAGAATCTGAGAAATAAGGAGGCTGTCAGTAAAACCCTGAGGCATTACTGTCCAGGTAAATTGCTTTCCTTCCCAAGTCAAAGCAAAAAGGTACTGGCCAGCTTCTTCAACTGGGTTGCTAAAGAATGCACTGCATAAATCTATTACTGTAAAGAATTTACTTGCAGTTGGAATGGATGCCAACAGCGTATGAGGGTCAGGAACGACAGGGTGTCGAGGGATAACAATACGGTTTATTGCTCGGATGTCCTGGAAAAACCTCCACCCTCATCCCTTTGGCTTTCTCACAGGTAGAAATAGGCATATTACAAGAATTACTGCAAGGAATAATGATACCCTGAGTTTTATAATCTTCTATTATGGGCTTTATATGTTGGACAGCCTCTTCTAGGATATTGATTAAATCTAGAGAGGCTTTGAAGGATCAATTTGAACCTTGATAGGAGGTGCACTGTGACTTCTGCCAGTATCAGTTGACGATTTTGCCCATAGAGATGGTAGTTGGTCCAATAGGGACCACTGATGAGTGTTTTCAGATTCAGTTACTGTACCATCAGAAATAGCACAAATAAAAGATGTTGAAAAGTCATGTAATTCACCTGATTGGTGATTCTGACAGTTACCATCAAACTCTAACATCACTACTTCCTTTAAAAAAAAAAAGGATATTCCAGCATGATACTTCTTTAAGAAGTCTCTGCCTAATAAATGCGTAGGAGCAGAAGAACTAAGGAGAAAACAATGTTCATCTCTTACGGGACCTAGACAAAAGGGAGTAGGATCAGATGCATGAATCTGTTGAGGTTTATTTGAAATCCCCACTGTATGAAATATCTTGTTACTCTGAGGCAGGGGCCAGTTTATAACAATGGGGTTGAGCATCGAGAGTGCAGCACCGGTGTCAATAAAAACAGAAATAGTTTCCTCCCCAATTTGAAGAGAAATTTCTCCAGGATGATTAAAGGAAAGGACTGGAAAAAGCCCCTGTAATTCCTTGGAGCCCCATCACTGGGAATTAGGAAGGCCTGAAAAAGACTGCTTAGTAGGCAGAGAGTGTCTTGTGCACTTCAATTTATGGTAATCCCTTTTCCAATGTCCTTGCTCCTTGCAAGAGTGGCAAAAAGTTGGAGTTCTCTGGTTTCCCACAAGGCCTCTCATTTGCCAATGCTGAAAGTCAAAAGCCTTGGCAATCTCACTTTTGGGTGGCCCGTCTAGGGTACTGGCAAGTTCATTAGCCAAATTTACAAAGTTTAGGGTAGGCATAGTTCCTCATCCCATCCTAGATCTCCTAACCAGGAGGGAAAGGTTTTTATTTAGCCCATTGACAAAGAACTAAAAGTTACATGTGTGGTGTCAACATCTGAAGGAAGACCAGAATTTTCCTTTAAAACTACCTGAAACCTATTAGAATAGTCATGAACAGATTCATCAGGCCTTTGTGAGCAAGTGTGAATTTTGTTCCAATCAGTAGCCCCGGGGAAGGCCTTAGGAATTGCTTGATGTAGCTTTCAAGCAAGTTCCCTGGTTTCCTCCCAATAATTGGAGGCTTGCTTTTCTAAATCCCTATCAGGATGCTCCCATCCGGCAATCCTCATCCAACGTCTAGCTTGACCTTCACCAGTCAACATATGGATTAGCTGGTATAATACAAATCAGAAAACCCAGGCTGATAGGCCTGAATAGTATGACCAAATTCCTCAGGAAACCTATTAGAGTCCTCAGTTACATTAGGAAACCCCTTTACAATGGCTGGTAACCCAGCTTTAGTCCAGGGGATGTAGAAGACGTGGGGCTTATTCGGATCGCCAGAGGGTTTCATCTTAAATGGAAAAGTACTGATAAGTTCTGAGGAAGGAGAGAGAGGAGAAGATTTGAGAGAAGGTGCCGCTGGGTGTCGTGTCCCGCACGACATGAGCAGTGGGAAAACGAGAGGGGGTGGCGAAGGGTTAAGAAATAAAAGAAACAGCAGTCAAGAGTTACATGAGCGTGGGGCCAAGGGTCTCCAGCCTCATGGACTAAGGGCCCCAAATCGGGCCGACACACCGCTTTTATTTCTCCACCCACCCGGAAGTAGCATTGTTCTCTCCACAGTCTGTGAGTCTCATTCCTGAGAACTTGCTCAAGCCAGATTACCCATGTCTGCAAGCTGCTATTACCGAGCGATAAGACAGACTCTCTGCCTTCACACACCCTATATGCATAGAACCCCAGGAAGATAAGATTATTATGCTGAGGACAGATACTAGCACACCATCAGGTCACTTCCCAAGCAGGTTGAGGGAAGGAATGTAGCTACAGAGGTAGAAAACCTCCAGTCTCTTTGGGGGGTGAGTGAGGGCTCATACTGACCTCCATCAGCCCCGAGATTTCTCCTAATGGCCTCCATCCGACCGTGCCTGTCTTAGGTTGTTCCTCCCACGAGGAATCTTACCCGTCATTGACTAACCGGCCATCCTTTGGAGCCAAACAGGGAGACGCACGGTGTATGAGCAGTGTCCTCAAAAGGGTCAGTTTAGGGTTAAGAGCAGGAGGACAGACAGCTGGACAGCTGCGTGGCAACAGCTGGGGTTGAGTTGAAACAAAGGAGGTGGCAACGAGGGACAAGATGACCTCGGAGGTGAGTTTGACACAAAGGAGCAGAAGTGGAGAAAGAACAAGAGGTTTCAGGTGTCATTCTGTCTCTTTGAGAATTTTTAACAGTCTCTGTTAACTTTGAGACTTTATTTTGTAAAAAGGCAACTTTAGATTTACAGTCTTATTTGGAAGTGTCACTATGCCACTCCATGGGCATTCCATTCCTCTTTCTTAGTTATAGTGCTATTGCTATCCAATTTAGTTTTAAGAAACTCAAGTTTGGGAATCTCCAAAGTTTTCCAAAGCGGTCACTGATTTTTGAAATTACTTTTAGTCAGATCTGTCCATTTAGTTAAATATGTGCACAAAAATTCCCCACAGATTTTAAATACATATTCAGCTAGTGTCCCTGGAGAAGGGACAGTGTTAGAAGGCTTAAACAGCAAGGATCCCATTTTTAATACTGGGCCCAAAACAATTCACAACTCAAACAACCTACAGGTCTTCAGTTCACCTCACTCTCACTCTGAAACAGTCTGATCACTGCAAACCAGACTGAAGCCTGGAGCCAGTTCCAGGAAATTACCAACTCTCAGGGAGTTCAGTTACCGGCTGACTGGCTGGCACTCCGTTAACTTTCTCAGTGAGGCAGCATGATCTAATACCGAATAAAACGGACCGATTTCAGTAGAAATAACCTCTATCCCCAAAAGTGACCTTAGGCGAAGGCCAGTTTTTGTCTCAAAGGACAGATTGCTTTCTGAAGAATTTGAGCCAATGTGCCACAATGAATACTCAGACAACATAGACAAACAAATATGCCTTTAACGCATTCACACACACGCACAGCAACAAATAAAAAATTTTAAAACAATTCTGAATAAAGCCTGGAGAGTGCCAGATGCAAAAGCCCATTGGCTCAGATCCAGGAAAGAACTCACCTGAGACTTCTAAGCCGGGGAGCAAAGAATCAACCGAAACAGCTCAGTTAGGCACCATAATTTGCTCACCGGTCAGAAGCCACCAGAGTTCCATTCTTCTCTGGATCCCAGAGGAGTCCCCAAAATGTCGACTGGCCAAAATGATTCTCCAGGCAATCCACTAAAGGAGCAATTTATTCGGAAAAGAAAATGAAACAAAACCACCACAGCAGTATGAGAACACACTCCTGTGACTGGGCTCCAACCAGCCGCACACGTGCAAAAAGAGTCCCTTCCCCAGATGGTCTCTATATAAATGGATCCCTCCCCCGGAAGTTACCACAAAGTTTCAACAGGAAGTCAGAACTAGAGACTTAACAAGGGGCCCAGCTCTGCCCATAGCCCTTCCAGCTCTATGGTTAGTCATCTTAAGATGCCAGTCCACTTTTATCAATGGGTTCTTTATATATTCGGAATACTAATCCTTTGTCATCTTTTGTGCTAAAGTATCTTCTTCCAGTGTCGGCCTGCCTTTTCATTAATTTTATGATATGTTTTGATAAACAGATGTTCTTATTTGATGTAATCAAATTTATCTTTTTGTGTTTTACTTTTTTTTATCCTGTCAACATAAGAAACATTCAAACCTGCAGAAAATTTTTATAAGAGTTTATTTAAGCCAAAACTGACAACAATTGCCAGGGAAAAAGATCTCGAATGCTTTGGAGAATGATAGTTTTGTTGTTTCTTTTATGTAGTCGAGATTAAGGAGGGAAGTAAGGAAGATTATATGAGGGTGGGAGAAAGCAAACTGGGGACTGGATTACAGGATAATCAACTAGATTATGTGGTCTCTTGAGGGTGGTTCTGCTTATTTTAAAAGTATGTTAACCTAGATGCACAAGAACAAATCAATAGGCTGGCTTAAGGCAGAGGAAAACCTTTTAAGGGCTGGGGCATGACTACCACCATGGCCTGCCCAGTTTGGGATTTATGATCAATCACCCTGTGAAGATACTTTCCATTAAACCCCTTTTTCATTCACAGTCCTTTATTTGTATGTGTACTTATGAACTACAGCAAGGTCATCAAGATGTTCTCCTGTATTTTCTTCTAAAATTTTGTATTTTTGCCTGAGAGGATTCATTTTATGAGTCAACTTGACTGGGCTAAGGGATGCTCAGATAGATGGTAAACCATTATTTCTAGGTGTGTCTCTGAGGGCATTTCCTGAAGAGATTAGCATTTGAATTAGTAAACTTAGTAAAGAGGATCACCCTCACCAATGTGGGCAGGCATCATCTAATCCATTGAGGGCATAAATAGTACAAAAAGGTGGAGGAAGTACGAACTCATTCTCTCTTCTTGAGCCATGATGTCCATCTTCTCTTGCCATTGGACGTCATAGTTCCTGGTTCTCAAGCCTTTGAATTCCAAGATTTACACCAGTGGCCTCCACCATCTTATTTTTAGTTCTTCAGCCTCTGAAAAAATTACACTACTGACTTTCCCGGTTCTCTGCTTGCTGATAGCAGATTGTAAGACTTCTTGGTCTCCATAACCATGTTAGCCAATACCTACAGTAAGTTTCCTCATATACCTATATGTGTATCTGTACCTATATGTACAAGGTCAGACAGTTAAGTTTGCAAACTTATCTTAGAAAAAGTGCTACATACCTCATTGCTGAATATCACTATGGTCGCCTTCAAAGTACTCCCCTTGGGAAGCTATATACCAGCACCAGTGCCTAGTCCACCCTTCAAAGCAATTTTGGAACTCTTTTTCTGGAATGGCCATCAGAGCTGTTGTCATATTACCCTTGATGTCCTGAATGTCATCAAAATGTCTTCCTTTCANAGAGTTCACAGGGGTGGTTGCCCCAACTTTGCACTTGCTTTAAAGCTCCCAGCTCTGCCCTGGAACATCCGGGCACTTTCCCTCTGTCCTGTCCAGTTCCCCCCTGAGGGTTGATTATGCTTTAAGTACCTACGCATTCTTGCCCCACCAAGCACCTCCACATTTTCCTGGATGGCCTGCCCTCTTGGGATCCCCCTTCCCTGCCAACACTTCTTCCCTCCATGGTCCTGTTGCCGAGGATAAGGGCAGACGGGTCTTCCCTGAGCTTGGTGGGTGTATCCGTGGTCAGGCCCCTGATGTTGAGTGTGACGCCCCTTCTCTTCTGGTTCAGGTCACTGATGCGGTCAAGACAGGGGGCATAGTCACGGCCGTGGCTGCTGCTGCTGTTGGAGCCCTCTTCGCGTCCCAGCTGTTCAAAAGCAAGCGAGAAAAGCAATAAGTTCAAGGAATTGTCCTGACAGCAACCACTGAGTATGAAGTCTTGCTTAGTCGTCCGGTGCGGAATTTTGTTTATTGGTTTCACTCTGTTTTATGATCATTGAGGCTTATTTTAATGGAGCTAAATAAAAGCACAATACGATTTTACTTGGGAAAATGAAGCCTAGTGTGAATTCTATTAAAGACACATTTGGGCTGTGTTGTGGACTGAGTGTTTGTGTTCCAATCCCCCAAATTCATGGAAGCCATAACCCCCAGTGAGATGGTGTTTGGAGGTGGGGCCTTTGGGAGGTGATCAGGTTTAGAGGAGGCCATGAGACAGCAGGGGTGCGGGTGGGGAGCCATGGTGGAATTAGTGACCTTATAAAAAGAGAGACCAGAGCTCCCCCTCGTCCACGAGAGGACACAGTGAGAAGGTGGCCATCTGCAAGCCAGGAAGAGGGTTTTCCTAGGTACTGAACCTGCCAGCACCTTCATCTTGAACTTCTCAGCTTCCAGAACTGCGAGAAATAAGTGTCTCTCATTTAAGCCCCGCAGTTGGTGGTATGTTGTGAAGGCAGCTGGAGCTAACACAGGCTCCTTCCCAGCTACACTGAAGAGTGTCCTGGCCGTTCACCGCTTTTCTTGCGTTTCCTCCTAGAGGACTGTGCTCTTTTTATGGTGCGAGAATACACGAGGGGCAGGGGAGACATACCTGGACAAGAATGGGAACCGTTGGCCTGCCAGGGCTTGGGACCTCAGCGGCTGGAACTGTGTAGAAGATTCTCCACGATGAATGTGACCCCGCCACCACTGACTGAGGCTCCCCGTTTCTCATGTTACTCCCTGCTCTCTTGGTTCCAGGAGCAATTAGCATCATTATCTCCTTCTGCTCTCCACATCGCTCCTCTGCTTTGTAGCTTCTACCCCCAGCACTCCTGCTTCCTCACCACTTTGGCTTGCCCTGACCCCTGCTCTCTGACCACACCTCCTCCCTCAGGCTTTTCCTTCCCCATCCGCTCAGCAGCACCTCTCCCCAGGCCTGTGGCTCTCTGGCTCCCAGTTCAAGTTCCTGAGAGAGAATCTGACTGGCTCAGCTCACCACATCCTATCTCAGCCTACTGATTGACTGCTGTTTAGAGGAGTCAGGTGACTCCTCTAGGCCAATCAGCTCAGCCCTGTGGAGCCAATCATATGGTTTAAACGTGACCGCAGAGACAGTTTCACTTGGAGGAGACTGTGGGTAAACATTTGTGTTTGGGATTCTTGATACAGGGGCACCCAGGGAAGGGACCTTTGACCAGTCCCTCCAGAGCTGCTGGGAGCCTGTCCCATGGGAGATTTATTGACTGGAATTAGAACCTGGAGCTCTCATAAGATCTGATTCCTCAATCTACCACGTTATTTGGCAAGCTTTCGACTGCAAGAAATGAGAAAGCCTCCTGTCTCTCAGCTTTCTGGTTATTGGGCCTCATAGAGCAGCTGGGCCCTCTGACCCAAAGGGAGCCAAGGAGCCAGGCAGGTGTGGACCCTCTGGAGCCCCACNTCACTTCAGTGCCTGGCATGGTAGGCGCTCAGTGACACTGGCTGAATGACATTTCCTGTTAGGTATATCACCTGCTCCTCTTTCTCAGCAGCAAGTTCATGGAGAGATTTTATTCCAGGAGTGAGTGGGGTTCAGTCTAGCCAACCCACTGTCCTAGTGAAACATGCCTTCATGGGTCCAATGGCCTGTGTAGTTGATGTGCTGGAGGGACAAATGAGTAGGAAAGCGCCGTGTCCTCCAAATAGTTACGTCTGGCTGCACACTGTGTAATGGAGGGGGCATGGGCCTCCCAACTGCACAGAACCCGACTGGAATCCTGGGGCCTCCGCTTATTGGCCTCTGACGTGCTCATGTGACTTTACCCCCTACGTTCAGGGGCACCCTCTGTAGAGCAGATGAGTGTCCCACCTCCCAGGTCATATAGGGTGAGATTCAGGGGTGCACAGGAGAGTGCTGGTGTGGGGCCTGGCGGGGGCTGAGCCCAACTCCCTTCCCTTCCAGAGTTTCCTTGCATTAATGCCAGAACTCTGAAAACCACTCAAGAGCAGAGAATTGGCCAAATAAAATGGATACCTGCATTTAATGGCATATGGCATAGTATAAAACCACTAACAGCAGCTGTGCAGCAGGTGTGTGTATACACATGTGTGCATATATATAAATATATATATTTTTTTTAATTCAAGTTTTAAAATATTAGTCTTATTGAGGAATAATTTACAAATAGTAAAATTTATCAGTTTTAGTGTACAGTTCTGTGAGTTTTGACAAACTCATGTGATCATGTAACCATCAGCACAATACAGATGTAGAAGAGTGCCCTTAACCCCCGTCCCCAAAGTCCTCATATGCCCCTTAGGTGTCAACCCCGGCACGCCCAGCTCCCACACCCCAGCTCCTGGCAACCGTTGATCTTTTTTCTATCCCTATCGTTTTGCCTTTCACAGAATGTCATACACATGGAATCATATGGAATGTTGCTTTTCTGCCTAGGTTCTTTAACTTAGCAAAACACATTTGAGGTTCGTTTATGTTGTAGCAAGTGACAGTATTTTGTTCCTTTTTATTGCTGAGCAGAAACACATGGTATGCATGTACCACCTTTTGTTTATCTATCCACCAGATGAAGATCATTTGTGTGGTTTTTTATTTTTGACAGTAATTATTAGAGCCACTATAAATATTCCCACAGAGGTTTGTTTTGTACGGGCGAACATAGAGTTTATTTCTTTTGGGTAAACGTCTGGGGGTGGCGTGATGGCATCGTATGGTAAGAACCTGCCAAACTGTTGTCCAAGCCGCCCACAGCAATTTAGGAGAAGGCGCTCTCTACTGAGGAAAGAAGAAACTCATGGCAGAGAAGGGGAGGCTGAGGGCACGGGTGGGGAGAGAGAAGAAAAGGGGAAAGATGGGGGACTTGGGGGGCCTGAGAGGGAGCGAGTGCGTGTGTGTGGGGTGACCAGAGAAAGACATGGGAAGGCTAAGGTGCAGAAAAAGGGAAAATGAGAAGCCGATAAGGAGAGACTCAGGGGTGGGGGTTACTGAGGGGCGGAGATGGAGGAGACAATGTGTTTTCCTCATGAAAAAGGATAAATTCTTGGTGACTTATTTTTTGCCTATATTAATCTTGTGCCTCCACCTCTCCGTCTCTTTGGGGTCTGCAGCCTAGGCAAAGCTGGGTGCTACCCCTTCTGATATTTCCTCGGCTGAGGGCCTCTACCCCCATCCCTGCTCCTGTTGCCAGAGTGAGCTGGGGCAGAGACATTTTACAAAATCACCTTTTCAAAGAAGATAAGAACTGGTGAACTAAAGTATAAACACACACATGCATGCGCATGCACACACACACACACACACACACACACACGCGCGCGCACACACACACACACACACGACTTTAGAAGCTGGTTATTAGATGAGCTGGCTGTTCAGAGACTGGTGTTCTACCAACAGGCTTTCTGTGAGTACAGCTTCGTCCAGCAGGTTTATCGGCTCCTCCCTGAGGGTTCCAGGAGCCATCACTTGGCCTTCTCATTCCAGCTTTCCGGGAAGTCTGGGTGAGGCAGGAGGCTGGTGTCCCATTTAGAGGCAAATCCGACAAATTAAAAGCCAGGACAGTATAGACATCACCAGGTACAATACTTTCCATTTTTAAGTGATAAAAGCCTGTGAGAAGAGAAGCGACTGACTTGCTGTGAGTAAGCCCAGCAGGGCGGTGGCCTGGGGCCCTGAATATCCAGGTGAAAGCTCAGCAGTTTGCTTTCCTATTATTTCAAACTGCCATCCTGGCCTGTTAGGGGCTTCCGGCTCTGGCTCAGGGAAGAGCAATGACAGTTTCTAGGCCACAAGCTAGCGAGAGGAAGCTGGGACTAGGACCCGGGTGTCTTAGCCCTGTGTTGACCTGAATCTTTCAGGGACATCTGAACTCACGTGGTCCTTTAGAAGAACTCATGTCCTTGTCTTTGGAAATGAGGATCCGGAGCCCAGAGACTCCTGGTGACTTCTCCAAAGTCATCCAGGCTTGGGTCTGACCTGTCCTTGAGTGGGAAGCTAGGCAGGGTGACCGCTCCCTTCCACAGCTCATCCTTATCGATGATGCCAAGGCCAATGGGGCTACCTGCTCAGGGCACTCTGAGTCCTTGGGGGCCAGCCCAGGACCAATCCCTCTGTTTCCTCTGTGTGAATCCACAGGTGAAATCGCAGGAGCTGGTGCGGCCAGCGTCATGTCTGCCCTGACTGACAAGGCCAAGGTGAAGAAGGAACGGCTGTCCGTGGTGGCCGGGACAGACAAGTACCGTGTCAATAACAAACATGATGACGAGTACTCACCGCTGCCTCCCAGCAAAATCGTCCAGCGGGCAGAGTCTCTGGTGGGGCAGGAGGTGCTCTACAAGCTGACCAGCAAGAACTGTGAGCACTTTGTCAACAGGCTGCGCTATGGAGTCCCCCGCAGCGATCAGGTGCGTCCTCAGCCTGTGTCCCTGTCCCCAGGAACCAGACTATTCCCTCACCTGACAGTGGCTGGGCTTCAGTGTGGGCCGGGCAAGGGTGGGGACAGAGGCATGAAGGGGACAAAATAACAGAGACAGAATCCCTCCCTTGAGGACAGGACCGCTCGGGTGGGGATGAGGGTGGGACAGATGTCGCAGTCTGCAGTGCAGACCAGTGCGGTTAGGAGGTGATGGCCAGTCGTGTGCATCACAGCCATGACAGCCATCCCGTTGCTGATCCCTCCCTGCCTGCTGGGCCCTGAGACGGCCCCTTACCACAGCCCCAGAGGTTGGTTTACCATCCCCACTTTACAGATGGGAAACTGGGGCTCACAGTGCTTAAGTAGNTATATATATATATATATATATATAGTCATGGGACGTGGAGTATAGTGTGGGAGTGGAGTCAAGGGATTTGTAATAGACATGTATGATATTGGGGGGAAATGGGGCGGTGGATTGGGGGAGGGGGTTGTCACTTTGAGGGGTAAAACGTATAACTATTGTACTGTGTTGTACAGCTGAAACTAATTCTAAAAATGTGTATTTCATAATAAAAAATAATTTAATTTAAAAAAAAAAGAAGTACCTGTCTCTCCAATTTACTTTTATCCAATCCCAGAGATTTCCCTGCTTTGCTTTCTCCCACCCCCTTAATCTACTATCAATGGATTTCATATAACCCTCTTCCTTTGATTCTACGTATAAAATAAACTGCAAACCGCCATTTGGTGGAGCATTTTCTCAATCCGTTGAGATTTTGCTTCCTGGTAATTGTCAGTTTGGCTCACATAAACTCTTATAAGCTTTCTCTTAGGCTGCATGTTTTTTCGTCGATAACAGGATCTTTTAATTCACATTTCTATGTTTATTGGACATTTGTATTTGCTCTTCTGTGAAGGACCCATCAATATATTTGTCCACTTTTCTCTTGGGTTGCTTGTTTTTTTCTTATTGATTTGTACGGTGTCGACTGGCCAAAATAACTATCCAGACAACCCAACAAAACAACAGTTTATCTAGAAAAGACAAAGAAAAAAACCATCACAGCAGTGTGAGAACGTAATCCTCTGGCCGGACTCGAATGGGCCACACATATGCAAAAAAAATAGCCACTTCCCCAGATGGCCTTTATATAAATAGATCCCTCCCCCAAAAGCTACCACAAAGTTTCAACAGGAAGTCAGAGCTACAGAGCTAACAGGGGGCCCATCTCCGCCCATAGTCCTTTCAGCTCTATGGTTAGTCATCTTAAGATGCCAGTTCACTTTTATCACTCCCCCTTCTTGATCAAGATCTTTTCTCTAAAAGCATCATTGATCAACATCAAGTCTTCTAGTCTCAGGCTTTCCAGTGTCCAGCCTTTTGTCCCTCGATGTCGGAAAGGGCCTCCTCTGGGTGTCATCTCTTACATCAAGGAGAGTGCATGAATCGGGAAACAGCTGGTGTCCAGCGTCAACCGACATCAGAAGCAGAGCTTAAAGAGATCAAAGGTAGAATTAGAACATAGCAAACTAGCTTATGTGGCAGGCCTAAACCAGGAACTCAAGCTCCTTAGAGACTACTTGCTCTAGATTTTGACAGCTTTAGTTTCAGGTCACCAGACTGTGTGCTTTTCCAGTCAGGGTTTGGTGCCTTCTTCAGGTGTGACACGTGTATCCAAGAGTCTACTCCCTGCAGTTTAGCACCACAGAGGTTAATCAACAGTACCTGGTAAGGGCCCCTCCAGCATGGCTGGAGGGAATCTTTTTTGAGGTGTCTTTTTCAATAAACAAATCTCCAGGTTGTAGAGTGTGAATTTTTAGTTTTCCATTTCCCTGGAGTACATGGTGAAATGATTGTTCGACTAAAGCATGATTATTGTCAATAGAAGCAATTAGGCCTTTACAATATTGAAGTATGTCTCCTTTCACCAACTGTGGATCAAGAGAGGCAGGGGCCAAATGCATAGGGCGTCCTGTAATTATCTCAAAAGGTGAGAGGTTATGAGTCCCAAAAGGAGTAGATCTGAGATTTTAAAGAACGAATGGCAATGCTTTTAGCCAAGGTATTTAAAGAGTTTCTATAAATTTTGCCAATTGAGTCTTAATACCATTGAAACTGGAGGCCAAGTGAGTCCAGGGCTCGTGCTGCCTGCACCACTCAGCCAATAGACCGACACAGCAGTTGGGTCATAGAATAAGCGTTTATTATCAGAGCACCGGTGGTCTGAGAAGGCAGCAGGTTAACACCTCCAAAAACTGCCTTAACATTCTCAGACTAGCCTGAGATATTTAAGGGAAAATCTGGGCATTCCTCCAGAGGCTACGTGATGGTTCCAGGGGTCTGCATGGAGCCTTCCCTCTGACAATGTGGCTCTCCAATGTGGTCATCAACCCAGGAGCAGTGATGACAGTAACCTGGAAAGAATGCTAGGCCATAAAGATGGTAATCGGCAAGCACGGGGTGCATTGTGACTAGTAAGCAAGCATAAATTTCAGGGCAATTATCTAAAGCTGGGAACTGGGAGAGGGGACATTCTAAGCTCAGGAACTGGGACTGGGGACATTCCAAGCTCAAACCGTAGGTAGAAGGTTGATCACTTGTTAAGCTCTAGGGTAGGGAGAGGCAAGGCCTCTTTTGTGGGGGGTCCCAACAGGGCCCTGTTTCACCATTAGTGCCTTCAGCCAATCCTGAGGATTGAGGATGGTAGGCACAGTGAAAATCTTGTAGAACTGTCCAAACAGGACAGACTGGCTTTAGCACCTGACCAGTAAAATGGGTTCCTCGATCATGTTGGAATTCAAGAGGAGTTCCCCAAATAGGAATAATCTTCTCCAACAGTACTTTAGCCACTGTAGATGCATTAGCTTGTCTGCAAGGGAAAGCTTCAGTCCAGTGAGAAAACATACCATATTTCCCCATGTATAAGATGCTCCCATGTATAAGACGCACCTTAATTTGGGGGCCCAAAATTTGAAAAACAATGTATTACATAAAGTTATTGAACTCAAGTTTTATTCATCATAAAATTCATAGAACTCCTCATCACTGTCAAAACTCCCAGCCATTAGCTTGTCCTCATCTGTGTCTGATGAAGAATCACTGTCTTCATATATTGCCTCGTCCTCAGTTCCATCTATGGCATTTGAAATGCCACACTTCTTAAATGACTTGACAACGATCTCAATCTTGATATTATCCCAGGATATTTTCACCAAGGTACAAACTTCTCCTTTAATTGGTTTCTTCACTCTTCCTGCTGGTGTCAAATTGTCCCCAGAAGGCTTCATCCATTGGTTCCATTCGTCTCTCATGGCAGCTTTGAAATGTTCATTAATGCTGATATCAAGTGGTTGGAGTTGGGATGTCAAGCCTCCAGGTATGACCGCAAGTTTTGTTTTTTGCTCTGCAGCAATCTTCTTTGTGTTTTTTGTTATGTGTGCCCTGAACTGATCAAGCGCCAATAGGGCAGGTTTGCATAACAGCCCACCTGGTCTCCTGCTCCAAACTTTCTCAAACCAGATCTTCATCCCATCCTGATCCATCCAACCCTTGTCATGAATGTGGACAACCACTCCTCGAGGAATGTCTTCTTTTGGCATTGTTTTGCGTTTGAAAATCAGAATAGGAGACAGCTTGGTTCCATCGGCACAACAAGCTGGAATAACTGTATGATGGCTCTTTTCATGACCACTTGTATTCACAGTTACAGTTTTCACTCCCTTCTTATCAACAGTTGAATTACTTGGGACATCAAACTGAAGGGGGACTTCGTCCATATTTGCAATCTGTCCCAACTCAAACTGATGTGTCTTC